GTGTGGACCAGCTACTGTTTGGTTACCCACATTCTTCAAAATATCTTCTTTTGTGTTCAGCACAAGAAAGAAATGAATACAGGTTTGGGACAACATGTGAATGAGTAAATAATGACAGAAATTTAATGTTTTGGGTGAACTATCCCTTTAATGACAGGTGGCAACATATTTAGTAGCTACTGCCCCTTTAAGAGCTTCACGCGTTTCTCTCTCAACTGTTTACTTTCATTTTAGACATAACCAACTGTGTTTATATGTAAACCTTGTGTGTTTTTGACAGTATTAGACGCAAAACCATTCAGACGCAAAAGACAACTTAGTCCAATAATCAGGCGCTTTTTGACAGGCTCTCAGTGTGAGCGCGCTTCCTGAGTATGCGCTCAGAAAAGGCGCATGCAGAACAGCACGTGAATTAAATGTTTAACCGGTATTGCTTTAAAGCAGATGGAAATAATGTAGTTTTGTGATTGCGCATAAGTACAGTGTCCCGTGAGAGTAACTACCGCTGACCTAATGCTGATGTGAACATTATATTGAGACGGAGGGAGGCGCCAGAACTGCAGCTGATAGAATGTGCGCTGTAGCAGATACAACGATATTTCTTCAAAAGCAGATCGGGAGACATTTTAATCATCCACGATCAAAAATCGTCATATCGCACACCTCCAACTACCAAGTATAATCAATCTCACACACACAAACAAGCACAACGAAATCACTTCACACTATTAGGCAGCTGTGTTATGAACATTCAAAATTGTATCGCACGCGTGCTACAGTGTTAAATTTATTCATCGCACAGACCAGTTTTTTTGTAGCACGTGCGACATATATGTCGCACTGTACAGCCCTGTAACCATATATAATCTAGTATGTTATATGCATTATAATAAAAAATATATACACACACACATTATATTTTATATATAGAAAAATTATAATTATTATTTTTCTATTTTAATAATGAATAATTTTCAACACATACGTAAATAATAATACACTTTATATATATATTTATATATATATGTTCTGTTATGATTTTAAATTATATATTATATAACCATATATAATCTTGTATATATTATAACTAAACATTATATATATATATATATACAGTAATCCCAAATATATATATATATATATATATATATACACATTTGTTTTATTGAAAATGAATTGTCAATGATTTTTTGTTTATGATCAATGTGCTTTCCGCCCACAATCGTGACGTCACAATGGCCTGCCCGTGACGCACGCTGAGTGAACGCGTTGCAGTGGCGCTAGAGAGTAAGCGTCCATAAAACACGGCAGCGATGTCAGGCATTGTTTATTTTGCGTGCTTCGGCAGCTCGTTTAAACGCTGAAAATATCCTTATCGTTCCCTAGTTACCACCGGAATACACCAGTTCTGCTTTTCACGGGCTGTGTTAGTCTTTCAGAAAGCTGTTCATGCTGTTATCTGTGTAGTGGGAGCTGTGCGCGCGTCTCAAGGAGCTCCAGGAGGACTGACGATATTTTTAAATGGACATATTTTAATATTTATCCATCTGCTCGATACGGTAAGCGTTATATTTAACTGACAACTTATAATCTTGCAATATAGCTACCCCCGACGGATCTTCGAAGCGCGTCGCTTCCCTAAATCTGCTGCGCGCTTTGACGCTTGGATAAGCTGGAGGACAGCGACTCCATACTGGAGCACGGAGAGAAGATTTGTTTGATGTCCTCGTGAGGAAACCGAGCTGAAGATGTGGGTGAACCCTGGGGAGGTGTTGCTGGCCAGCGCGCTGTGGATGACAGAGAGAGCGAATCCTTACTTCATCCTGCAGAAGAGAAAGGGCCACGGAGACGGCGGAGGAGGACTCGCGGGTAAAGCCACGATTGCTCGATGAACCGCGCACGCGCTCATGTTGTGTATGATGACCGCTTATGCTCAGGTGTGTTCATTCATGCCTGCACTCTCAGGTGGACGCGTGCGGTTCGCGCTCACCTGTGTGGACAGATCACTGAGAAAATGGTCTAGGATTTACTTTCAAGCTATTTTCACTCAGATATTGCGAGCATTTTCAACAAATAATTACACAGAAACGGAAAGTAACACACAATTAAATGTCCAATTTAAATAAAAAAGACTGAAATAGTGTTTTCATATAACGCATACTCTACTAATCGTTTTATTTGCATCTTCGAACAATGTATTTATTTATTTATTTTTAAAAAGTATTTTAGCATTTTTCCAATTGAATACTTATTATTTATTATCAGTTATGTTATCAGCATAATTTGAAAATAACATGAATTTTAATATTTCATATTCATAATGTCTGCTTTTTGCTGTAATGACATGGACACGTTTGTGCAAAACTTGCTGATTCATGTTATCCAGCATATTTGATCATTTGTACAAAGAAGTTCCTTTTTTAAAATGCTGAAAAAAAAGATTAAATTAGATTAGATTTATTTGATATTGATAGAAACTAGGTTTCCAATCAGTTCTACATAGTTGCCCTCTATATATTAAAGGATTGGTTTGTATGTATGATTGTGCATAATATGAACCTACATGGATTTATACAGCCTCATAATCATATTATTTCCATTACTGCTGTGAACAGGCCGTGCGGAGATGTATAGATGCATTCAAACACCATAGAAATGGCTCATTATTGTTTCTGTGTGATGTTTTTAATGTGGCCGTGGTTGACCGAATAGCAAAATGGCCAAATATTGGCTGGTTAATCAGCCTGGCTGATATATGCATCCAATAACCCATTATAAAAGTCCTTCTAGTGAGATATTAGTGGCTCAGTAAGGTTCAGTTTATTCTCAATGCCTCAGGACAGGACACTTAGCTGGTTTGATGTTGTGTAATATGCTTTATTGACCTCACCTGGTGACCTGACCTGTATTTATAGCTTGGACAGGTGCAGTATGTCTGGCGTTCGCCTCTTTATCTCTGACTGACAGAAATCATGCTGGAGCCTTGAAGGGAATTCTTGCACAATAATGTGATTGTGGATATAACTCGGAGTGAATAGCAGAGATCAACGTTGTAAGAGCTGAAATGTTGCCGGTATTTGTGCGCATACCTCTTTGTGTCTGTCAGTGAGAAAAGACAGATGCAAAGCGTACACTAGCGAGGGAAGATGATGTCATTGTTACATAAATGTGTGAGCTGTGTGCCAGTGAGAGTCGGTGAGCCTGGCACGGCCCAGCAGACTGACCCGCAGAGTCTTGGGGAGCCGGCATTCGGCCAGGAGTACTAGAAACAAAGCCAATGTGTATGTTTGTGTATGTTTACATACATCAACCAGAGCAAATATCTTGTGAATTTTTATTCAAACATGAATTTTTATCAGAAGAAAAGTGCAATGGACAAAGACGATAATATGGGTTTCGAAAGATTTTCTCATTTGTTTCTTTAAATGAATTGCATACTGTAGGTTCATCCAATTTATTTTTCATTTATTATTTACTAGTGCTGTTAAACGATTAATCGCTTACAAAATAAAATGTTTACATAATATATGTGTGTGTACTGTGTATATTTATTTTTGGTACCGAAATTGGTACCGAGAACCGTGGATTTTCACTGGTATCGGTACCGAATACTGAAATTTTGGTACCGTGACAACACTGCAGCACACATACATATATTATGTAAACAACAACTTTTATTTTGGATGCGATTAATCGTTTGACAGCACTATTATTTACCCATGAGAATGAAAAATCACAAATGAGATCTCATTAATGTCTCGCTTGTTTCTCACTGACAGCTCTGAGAACAAATGGAGGCTTTTGTTTTGGGATTATTACCTGAATCTTACCAGAATATTCTCCCACATGTCACTTCTAGAGATCTCAACATTGTCTCAAACTGTGCTCAGGTTGTTTCTCATCAGATTCTTCTAAGAAATTCATTGAGCTGTGATCTCTGTATTATTTTTATAGCTCTATGCTCAACGGCCAATGCATTTGTGTCTGTTTTTGAGGCATTTTATGAGAAACATTTGAGTTGATTTAAGTTGATGCTTAAATGATACATGCTTTAAAAAAATTGTGGTGAACTATGAAAGAGCAACCTTTTAGCAATCAGATTGTAAGTAGTGCCTTTTTAAACCATCATAAACATGCTTTATTCCAATTTTTTGACTAAGACGCCCAGAACTGTTTTAAGAGATTGACTGATAATCGGTTTTACCGATATTTATGCATTTTTCCATAAACGGATATTGGCTTTGTAATATTGGATCCACCGATAAATGGAGAATTGCGTGCAAGACTGCCACAAACTTGTTCACAGGTAAAGAAACTTGCATTTGCCTTAATAAATAAACTTTATTTAACATAACTGTCTTAAATCCTCATTAATGAGGTGCATTACATAAATACTTGATATGTAGTCTGTGAAATAGAGACTCACAGAGAGTCGTGTAATCTGTCAAATCATGTCCCAGAGACATAACTTTACATAAATTAAACAGGCTTGAATGAGTGCATGATGGAAATAAAAAAAGAAGTAAAACAATAAATAAAAACAGGTTCTACATATCGGTTATCGTCATGTAAACATGCAAATTATTGGTATTGGTTATAAAAAAAAAAATCAATATAAGTCAGTCTGTAATTTTCATCCATTATCCAAAGGCCCAGTGGTTTACTTTCATCCAGTATGAGCCCAAACGTCTTTTCTATGGCTAAATACAGATGAAGTCAACAGCTCCGTTGTGTTTTTATGCCATTCAATACAGTTGTATCAGGTTGATGCTGTTTAGGAGAATATTGATTTTGTCCATGTGCTGGTAAGGCTGTTTTTGTCAGAGCGGAGATGAATTCAATTGAGAGCAGAACTCATTCTATATTTAGAATGAGAAAAGACAATGAAATGTTCCTCCTACAACTCCTTATCCAAGCATTCTAATAAGACTCGCAAGAATCGCAGGACAGATTGAATTGTGTTTCCCTGTTGGCATATATGTAGGCTATGTAGTGTAGTACTCCCTACTACACTGGTCAAAATGTGCAGTGTACAACAGAGCAGACTGCGTAATTTCTCCCATAATGCAGTTCGCTCGACTGGACCTTCCATATGCAAATGTTTAATATGCAAAGTGCAGAATTTTTATATTTTATAGACACAATAACTGGACACCACTTGGTAAATTAAACATGTTCACAATGAGGTTTTGTGATATCAACGGTTGTTGAAGCATTTATTGTTATTTATTGTTTCATATTTTTTAAAATAGTAGGCAATGTGTAGTGCAAACGGAGCCGTTTGCTAGTATTCAATTTGACTGACATTTTGACCATTAAAGGATCTAAACATTTCAGATTGACCTCTTAACTCAACACAAAGAATACAAACGTCCAGTGTTATTTTAATATTATTTATATACTATTATATTTTCAGTTTTCGTTTTAATATTATTTTTATTAATTTTGTTATGTACTTTAAATTTTTTTTTTATGTTTTTGTTTTTTATTTATAGTTATCTTTACCTTATTATATTTTCAGTTTTATTTTATTTATTTTACTTCTGTTTGCTGCCAAGGCAACATTTCTAATTTCCATTTAAGTTTATTTTACATATTATTTCTTAAGTGTATTATTTCTATTTTACTTTATTTCACCTTTATTTCAGTTAACAAAAAATGTTTCTTAATAGTTTTAATTTTATTGAACAAAACTGCAGACGTTAATGCTGCCTAGATATATTTTAACATTTAAAATTTATTGCTAGAGATGCACCAATCGAACGGACAGGGACCGAAATCAGACAATTTTCCGCATCAGTTTCAAAAACGAAAATCATTCCAATCAAAGCCACAGCTTTTCGTTACAGTTCAGTTTCAGTTCAGTTCAGTTTATTTATTTATCCCCGTAGGGAAAATACGTTTGCAGAATACTCACTCAGACGTTTAACAATTCACATCTGGAATATGTAAACAATAATTTAATGCTGATAAATCTACATTTAAAATAACCAGTCTAGCTGACCATCAGTAACTGCAAGAGGAAGAAGAATTTAAGAATTTAATTGCTTGGGGAATAAAAGATAATTGTGACCTGTTTTTAAGCATATGGGATATCTTCTGCCAGATGGTAAAAATTCAAAAGTACTGAATAAATCCACATTTTTGAACGAATCGAGTGAGTCAATGATTCAGTAACCCATTGCGTAAAACAGAAATTTGCCGCCACCTATTGGTGGTTTGGTTTCACATTTAAAAGTATCATTGCATTTTTCCCAAAATTTCTTATTTGTATGTTTAAAAAATATATATAAAACATTAATCTTATAAAATTATTTATGCATTTGCAATTTTACAGTGTAAATGCATTTACGGCACCTCTCAGCTTCATCAAACAGTCTGTGTAAATGCATCTAATGTCACTTCAGATGCAGCTTCTGTGTTTCCTGCAGTGGAAAGATGGAATTGTGGATACTGATTTCATTTGAATGGGACTCGCAGGCAACTCCTTTCTACCTCCTTCTAGTCACAGAGCACTTTATTTTGAGAGTTGTTCAAGTGAGAGAGAACATGTTTAATAATTTTTGTTTGTATATGCTGCCAAGTATAGTTCTTAGAAAGAAAATCGAAATCGGCAAAAATCGGTATCGGCAGGTCAAACTTACAAAAAAAAGAAGGGCCAAGAAAATTGAAAATTGCAATCGGTGCGTCTCTATTTGCTACCTGTTTTTTTTAATTCATCAGTTATTAAAAACGAAAACCCTAGAGTATGATCTTATATCCTGTTGCCCGTATTCATTGTGGAGTGTGAAGTGATTTCACAAGCTTGAAATCTAATGTGACTGCACCTTAATATAAAATAGAAAGTGTTAAATTACTTTGCTACTGTGTAACAGTGTGAATTTGAGCCGAAGTGTGTGAATATTAATTTTGGCAGGCGTTGCTTGGAAACCTTTTGGGACTGTCCGGTCATGCAGCTTAATTAATATTCATGATCCAAGAATAGAATATTTAATATTTATTGCAGAAGAAATTGAATTATTAAAGTTTAATGTTTAACATGTTTGTAAATTAATTATCAATAATATTAAAATATATCAATAACAAAATAATTAAATGTATTAATAATACAATTATTTTTAAATGTTTTTCTGAAAATACATCAATATATTAGTGCTGTCAAACGATTAATCGCGATTAATCGCATCCAAAATAAAAGTTTTTGTTTACATAATATATGTATATGTACTGTTTATTTATTATGTATATATAAATACACACACATGCATGTATATATTTCAGAAAAATATGTTATGTTTATATATTAAATAGATTTATATATAATATAAATTATATTAATATAAATATATACATGTAAATATTTTCAAAATATTTACTGTATGTGTGTATTTATATATACATAATAAATATACACAGTACACACATATATTATGTAAACAAAAACTTTTATTTTGGATGCAATTAATCGCGATTAATCTTTGACAGCACTACAATATATTATGATGCTTAATGAATACTATGTTAAGAAATATGTCAAATATTTGACAAAAGGCAGTTGTTTTGTTCCATCTGTCAAAAAAAAACTTGAAATACTGGAACTGGAAAGGTTTATTAAAGAATGAACTGAATGTTGTTGATGTGCACGCACACTCTTAAACAGCGCTCAGCGCAGGGCTCTGCGACTGAATAGATCATGTGATCCGTACAGTATTCTCAAATCTCTGCTCTCTTGCAACCAAGGAAACCGTGGCTCATCCGAGCTTATGAAAGCAGGAACAGAAAGTCATGTGTTCAGGAGTGGGATGTTATTGCACATTTGGGCTCCAGCAGAAACGGGTAGCCAGATTTGTTTGGAGGATCATGATTCACACACTCAAGTCTGGCAAAATCTGTGGTGTCAAAAACGGCTACATGTATGTTTACCTTCCTAATGCATATTCCTGGTCTTATTGTGCATGATTCATCAGTGTTCTCTGCTAAATGTACTTTTTCATGTTCAAACTGGCTGAACCTGCCCAATCCGCACTGGATTGTGAAACCGTGTTGCAGGTTTTGTGAAAACGAGTGCTAGAGATGAAGAGCTCCTTCTCTGATCTGCAGGTGTCTTCATTCGTCGTGTCTGATGCTCTGATAGCGATGTTAACACATTCTCGCCCTGTGGCTTCAAAGCCTGCGAGTCTTCAAAGTCACTAACAGCGGTTGCAGGCTCACCCAGGGGGGGTTTACAAGCAGCAGCTTTTTAAGGAATGATGTGTTTTGTTTGTTTGTTTGTTTTATCGTGACCCAATCTACACACAGTTAGACTATCATTTTGAAGCTGTATCTCAGTGTGTTTCTGTTTGTTTGTTTGTTTGATTTTTGAAGTACATATATACACACACTACCATTCAAAAGTTTGGGGTCTGTAAGTTTATTTTTTTTATTTTTTATTATTGTTTTGAAAGAAGTCTCTTCTGCTCACCGAGGCTGCATTTATTTGATCAGAAATACAGTAAAAACAGTAATATTGTGAAATATTATTACAATTTAAAATGACTGTTTTCTATGTGAATATATTGTAAAATGTAATGTATTCCTGTGATCAACACTGAATTTTCAGCATCATTACTCCAGTCTTCAGTGTCACATGATCCTTCAGAAATTATTCTAATATGCTGATTTGATGATTAAGAAACATTTCTGATTATTATCAATGTTGAAAACAGCTGTGCTGCTTCATATTTTTGTGGATACATTTATTTTTTTCTGGATTTTTTGATGAACAGAAAGTTCAAAAGAACAGCATTTATTTGAAATAGACATTTTTTGTAACATTATTAATGCCTTTACTGTCACTTTTGATTAATTTAATGCATCCTTGATGAATTAAAATATTAATTTCTTTAAAAAAAAAGTCTTACTGACCTCAAACTTTTAAATGTTAGTATATACAAATCAAAGAGATGTAAAATGATGATTATTATTATTATTATTATTATTATTCAGTCAGAGGAACCATCATTTTGGCCAAACAGCCATAGTAACCAAGCAGCCTGAAAATCTTTCATGTAAAAACTAAAATTAATTGCTTTATTGAAACAGACAGTTTGAATTGATTCATGGAAATGAATCAAATTTACCAACTGTAATGCCATTTTTGCTGCTAAAGCTTAAATCAGGCACAATACCAAATCATCATATTCTTAATGCTCTCATGCCTGCGAGTCCCAAGACAAGGATCACAAGATCACAACACGAGTTTAATGATGTGGTCATTAGGAAACAATATTTTACAAACAACTCTGGAAATGTTCTGGAATATTATATACTGATTTCTTAACTTTATACTCAAACTAAAATGAGTAACTGAAACTTGGCCTAAATAATTTTTTTTAAATATATTTCCAAGGCCAAGGCCGATATATCAGCCGATATTTGGCATTTTGAAAATATCGGCATCGGTCCATAAATTTTTCTGTTTGGCCGATTGAAAAGTTGAAAAGTTTTCAACTTCTGCCGCTAGGGATGGGCGATTCCCCTTATTTTGTTTTCGATACGATACCGATATTTTTCAAGGCAGTATCGTCGATATCGATTCCGATTCGATACTTCTGCACTAAACTTCTAAATTATGAAATTTATTAGACTTTTATTTTGACGGCGCTGAGAACGGCAGCGCCTGAGCGCACACCGCTCACATTCTCCCTCTTGTTCGCTGTCGTCGTTCAGTTCGGTCTAATATGGATAGAACTCTATCTAATAATCAGATAGAACTGTTAAAGAAAGGAATTAAAATGTATACAAAAAGTATTATAACAATTGCTTTAATATTATTAGTAACAGAAAGGCAAACTTTATAATACTTTCTCATTTGCCGTCAGCATTCAGCAAATACGCATTTACATAATTTTTAAACAAATCTTTGAATGACTAATGAGCATTTAATTTCATAAACCTTGCAGACTTAGTCGAATTTAGTTGAGATCCTGTGAAGTGTGCATTTGTATCCTGGCATCGGCATCGGCTGTCAAAAAACCCATATCGGTCGACCACTAAACTTGAATAAAATATTTAAAATGTATTTAAAAAAATATATAAATATCTTTTTTTTTTTCTGTGTGTCTTAAGTACTGTTGATTTAGTCTATTGTAGGCTGCTGATCTCCAGTGGTCATTCTGAGTGTATGTTGTCTGTATTCTCACAGGTCTGCTGGTTGGCACCCTTGACGTGGTGCTGGACTCGAGCGCCCGTGTGGCCCCGTACAGGATCCTCTACCAGACCCCCGATTCCCTGGTTTACTGGACCATCGCCCACGGTAGCATACTGCCTCCGCTCTGGAATATTCCCTCTCATCCCGTCTGCTCCCTGATGGCCGCTCGCTGCCGGAGCATTACCTCATGCCCTAGTGCCTCTAAAGTGCAATCTGAAGTGCACTGAAATCAATGTCCACTTTTCTTTCAAACGCTGCTCGACTGAACATGATGTTCACTCACTGTCTCCACTTTTAAAGTTCAGTTTAGACGCTGAAAACTTCATTGTAGGAATCAATGTTTTAGCAAAGATGGCGTTTGTTAGGAATCGGTATTCGTGCAGGACTAGGAAGAGTGTGGTGAATGTGCAATTAAGAGCACTTATGATGAGAGCGGCTCTGCTTAGAGTAACACAGTGAACTGAAACGGAGATGGATTGTGTTACAGCACTTCTACATTGGTAGATATATTTTGCTCAGGCCTACATTACATTAATTGCATGTGAAGAAACAGAATTAGTTGTCGCAATACCAAAATGTTAGTAGTTAGAGCAATACCAGTAACATTTCTCTAAAAATTTTCAGTAAAGATTCTCGGCACCAGTTTCACTACAAAAACTACTGCACTACTATTGTTATTGCATCTGTTGCTCTCTTTTATTTATAGTTTTAACTTGATTATTTTCATTTAGATTATATTTTTAATTTACATTTTATCTTATAAATCTGAATACAGATAACATTTATTTAAATGTTACTTCAAATTGATAATTCTAAATAAATAATACATTAAAACAATGGCAAGTAAGGCAAGGCAAGGCAAGTTTATTTATATAGCACATTTCATACACAATGGTAATTCAAAGTGCTTTACATAAAAGAAAAGAAAAAAATAATCACAACAATAAAACAAGGAATTTAAAAACTTTGAAAATGATTTAAAAAATTGATTTAAGAGGTTTAAAATTAATTTAAAACGGTTAAGAATAGAAAACGATTATAAAATATAGTGCAATCAGTTTGGACGTTGCACAGTAGCCTTTAATATTTTTTCAGTTAAGTAAATATTGTTGTAAAAAATACTGTTAATGAATAAATAGATTCTGCTATACAATTTGTGTAATAGTCATTTATGTTAATTACATATATTACTGCAAATGAATAATTATAAATAAATAATACATTAAAACAATTAAAAAACACACACACACATATATAGACTTTTTTTTAAAGCAGTATAAATATCATATCATATTAATAAAATCAACCCAGTATAGATTCTGCTATAGAATTCTTGACATGTTAGATATATTTGCATAAGAGTGATTTATGTTATTTACACTTGACAAAACATGTAGCTTTGTCAGAATACCCAAATTTTTGTAGTCAGTGGCAATACTGAAGAATTTTCATGATTCTCGATGCTAATTTCTATACCACTACAAAAATGAACTTGATATCGAGCCTCTTAACTATTTCACTATTTTAATTTAATATTTAAAAAATATTACCTTTAATCATAAATAAAAATGCACTGATTTAAATATTATTGCAAATTAATAATTCTAAATAAATAATACATTAGAATACATGTTTAATTGTCTTTTTAAAAGCAACATTTTCTTTTTAAGAAAAATTACATTAAATTCAAAAAACCTATTTCAATAAAAAAAAAAAAATGCTTTAAGTTTTTTAGTATCCAATTTATGGAGGCATATTAAAGCTTCCAAAGTAGAGCAAAAATACATACCTGAAAAACCATGATACTTCAAATAACGTGTCTTTAAGGGATGTTAAACACAACATGGAGTTGAATACAAGATGAATATATCAGTAAGATTTGTATGGTCGTCCCACAGTATTCATCATCATAGCGTCGAGCCCCAGCCTCGAACATTATGTGTGAAGCCAAAAGAAAGCGCTGGCTTCCCAGAGGAGCGGAGAGTGCTCTGTTTCTGAGCTAATCTGGTTTACAGGCAACTGCGAATGCTGGTTCATATTTCACATGCTGTTATTTTGCTAGCTGCAAGACATTTGGTAAATCTCTTTATTTAAGGCGAGAGACCCGTTTGCCTCTTCTGAGATGTGCATATGTTCTGTGAAAAGCTTTAGCATGACTGTGCATAGGCACTTTTTTTATTTAAAATGTATTTTCTAGAAATAATCCTAGGCTGCATTTACAGTGCATCAATATTTTGAGACTGATGCTAAAATAAACAACTAAATAAATGTATAAATATATATATATATATATATAATGTAATGCGTAGTATTAAAAATGCATATACTATAAATATAAAAGTGTAATATTAATGTTAAATTTACTATTTAATATTAATCTTAATATTTTTGTTTAATATTTAAATATATTGTTGGTTAATTATATATATTGTTATTAATTATATATTGTAATTTGTCAGACATAAACAACTAAATTAAATTTAATGTTATTAAATTAAATTTAATGTTATTATTAATATTAATATTTAATATTAAAGAAAGCCCCTCAATCCAGTTTGAACAAAAAATTTGCATGCATCATCCTCAGACCCTCATGACAAAAAACTGTTTTGTTATAGCATATATATATATATATATATATATGAACAAAGGTGTATCACTGTGAAGCTTTTCTTCACACACATACATATATATATATATATATATATATATTAAAGCTTAATATTAAATATTAATTTTAACACTTAATATTAATTGTTGGGGGTTTTTGTGTTCTGCAACTGTGTTGTTGTTTTGTTTAGTTTTTTTGTGAGTTTTGGTTAAACAGCAAATGTAGCATGGATAGTTAGTTTTTAAAATAATTGTGTATTTCCATCTTTACATAATTGCGGGACACTTGTCACAGAACGAACTTAACGAATCGTTTGGTTTGCCAGTAATGTGTTTGATTTATTGCCTGAGGAGAGCTGTGCTAATACAGAGCTAATTAAACGATGAACCCGGACCCATCTGCTGTTCAGTTCTGAGCAAATGCAGTCGCTGCGGATAAAGACTTCAAATGAAATTCATTATCGTAAATGTGTGGATTAGTATTATTTGATGACACAGAGGTTTTTGTTTCTGGCAGGGAGCTCTCGTAAGGAGGTCACGGAGAACTGGGAATGGCTGGAGCAGAATCTGCTGCAGACGCTCTCCATCTTCGAGAATGAGAATGACATCACCACCTTCGTCAAGGGCAAAATACAGGTTACACATTAGCATTTCACACACGCTATTCATTTAATTGGTGCTTTAGTGCTTACACGTGTCTGTCTGTGTGCTTGTGTGCAGGGCATTATCGCCGAATACAACAAAAGCCATGAAATCAGAGAGGATGATGACACAGATAAGTTTAAGGAGGCCATCGCTAAGTTCGGCAAGCTCTTCGTCATGCCGGAGGAGGAGAAGCTGGTGAACTATTACTCCTGCAGCTACTGGAAGGGCAAGGTGCCTCGGCAGGGCTGGCTGTACCTCAGCATCAACCACCTCTGCTTTTACTCCTACCTGCTCGGGAAAGAGGGTAAGTTCAGCTACCGATGGATATGATGTGCAGCAACACATCAGGGCTGGGCCTTTTTTCCAATTGTGTCTATTGTGATGTATTGTTTTGTTTTAAAATAGAGGAATCACAGTTTTGAATAAAAATGTCAGCAAATGTTACAATTTGACATGTTGACAGTACGCCAGCGATAACAGTTAAGAGCAAGGACCGTAATGTAAAACATATTGGCTTTGTGTTTTTGCATTTAAAAACACGAGATGCGAGCAGTGGAATGTGGAAAAACACCATTTTTTATTCATCAATAGTTTTATATTATTAAACTGGTTACATTATTGACGTTATTCCCTGAGGTGAGTAGCAGGGTTATTATCGTTAACACAAATTTAAAACTAAAACCATAAAAAAAATAAAAAAAAAAGTAAATGTGAACTAAAATAAATAAATTAACTATAAATACATTTTCACAATTTTAAACTTTTTCATTTCTCATTTTCGTTTAGATTAGCTTTAAGTATTAAAATAAAACTAAAATAAAAAAGGAAAATGAAAAACTATAAAGACATATTTAAAAAAAAAAAAAATACACAAACGTTTGTGTCTTTTCCCATCAGTAATGAATGTAAAATAAAACGAAAAAAGAAGACTGTTACTCGTGAGTGCGGATCATAATTTCCTATACTAAGTAACTTAACAGATTGACGCACCAAAATAAAAAGATCAAGTAACGGAAGAGCGCAGTGCAAACGGCCTTGTTAAAATTTTTGATAAAAACATCAAACAAAATTATGAAAATCTAAAATTAATAAAAGCTAAATTACTAATTCAAAATATTAACAAAAATATAATAGTATATCAGTGATATTAAAAAATAACACTGATGAGTAGTTTTTGGCCTCGTACACACTGCAGGTAAATTCGGTTGTCATTTCACCTTTTAGTGCTTAATCCTGTTCTGTTCACACACAGTTCAGTAATTTACGGCAGTGACAACCACATGCTACAAACGAATTAACTCCAGAAAAATGCAGGTAATGGCAACCATATTTACAGGAATTCTATGCAGTGTGAGGAACCGAACTGAACAGCTTGTTGTTAATAACATATTTAAACACGTACCAGTGTTGCCAGATATTGCTATAAAAACCGGTAAATAAGATCCAAGCGCGTTATCTTGGAAATAAGCCACATACCAAAATATCATGACCTGCACCTGTCTACTTTATTAACTACTTAAAATGGATCGCTTTATTAGCCGAGCCGAGCCGAGGCTAAACAACAAGCCCAAAGACGCTTAATAAGCATTGTTTATAACAAGAGGTCTTGGCAACCCTCCAAGAGCGCATTCTGCAAAGCAGCCTTCCCAACCAAACACAACGGCTTTGTTGACGGTGGTTTAGTTAAAATCGCAGTACATAATGAGTCTTTAGTCGTTGTAATATTACTTTTGTAAAAAAAATAGCGGATACCAAACATGCAAGAAGGGAAAACTTTAATTACAACAATGCCAATCATTGCAGTTTTGAGAGTGAGTTCTGTTCCACATGCACACAAAACTGTTCACTAGGGGATTCACTCCCATATTTAAATGCGGTTGTCACTCCTGACTCAGTGTGAGCTACGGTTTGTTTCAGCTAAGCTGGTGATCCGCTGGGCTGACGTGACTCAGCTGGAGAAGAACGCCACGCTGCTGCTGCCGGACATGGTGCGCGTCAGCACACGCTGCAGCGAGCACGTCTTCTTCATCTTCCTCAACATCAACGAGACCTTCAAACTCATGGAGCAGCTCGCCAACATAGCCATGAGACAGCTGCTGGACAACAAGGGCTTCGAGCAGGACCGCTGTCTGCCCAAACTCAAGAAGAAGTCGCCCAAGAAAGTGTCGGCCCTCAAAAGGTCTGTGACCGCAACACTCATGAAGATAAAGTAGATCAATAAAGATAAAGTGATGCTAGAAAACTGGTGTTAGGAGGCAAATTAAACATTTACAAAGTTATAAAGATTGATTTAATA